GGCCCAGGGAATCGTACTTATATGAGCTGCAACCAAAGCGACTTGAAAGATTCTAAACCCAATGAAAAATTCTAAAAACGTAAAGTTTTTTCACTTCTTTGTGTACCTACATAGGACAGCTTACGATTTGCATTCAAGGCTGTCTATTTTAAGTAAAGTAATGGGAATGGTCATTTAAGGCAAATCCTAAACTACAGAAAGGGTCAAACTATTTCACGAGAAAGTATGCTGAAACGTTGTTCACACATTTTTTGGATGAGTGCCCCATTCCTTTAAATTTTCTTCTTCACAGCTGGGATTCTGGAACAAGAAATAATTGTAAATGAGATTGCAACACATCTACACCGCATCAGGTATCATGAGTTTGGTTAATTAATTATCAATGCCTCAAAAGGCCTGACGCCATCTGTTATTTTCAGTCAACTTTAGAGTGAAAATGGAATTTCCCATATGGAGCGAACTGTGGTAGTCACCCAAATGAGGTTCCGCCATCATTCTTGGGTGGACCCAGGTCCAGATTATATTATATATATATATATATATATATAATATCATACATATTATATATTATATATGAGCATAGCATATATCCAATCATTCATGGAATTGAGCTCAAGTACTGCTGGGGTTGCTGAAACGTCCTATTCTTGGTCGAAAACATAGCTGATATGGAACAAAAAAAAGACTTTTTGTACATTGGCTAAAGAAAAAAAAGACAGAGAATGCCTATAGATACTAAATCAAGGATGAGCTAGCATGGATTAGTAAAACGTTGTGGTTAAAGTTGTCAGCCTTAGTCACTTTCTGACAAAGAGCCCTGAAACTTGTAACTCAGGTGATAACTCGCGGTGTTAAAATAAGCTCTATTTATTTGAAAGTCAAACTGTAAATGCATACTTTCTAAAATGTTAATTAAATTTAGTGGGTTGAGCTGTGTAATTAGAGGATTTAATGCTCGGTTTGAGGACCGATTACATCAACTCAGTCCAATCGTGCTTGTTCAAGCCAAAGTTGTGGATAAATTAGTCTTGGCAATTATCTTCGAAAGACATAGAGTAGCCATTGCAGACCAACCAGTACTCCAAGCTAAATAATCTTATATCATGTGAAAGATCATGTTGTTTATGCACTAAATCTGCTCAACCAGATTACCGCGTAAAAGTTGTGTAAGCCTGTATGTCAACACTTTCCTTATATTTACCATCCTTTATGTCTTTATTGCAATGAAGTTAAAAATGTTAATCCTAATTTAGCACCCCAATTTCTTCCATATTCCCCTTTTCGAAAACGTCTGCTTCAGTCGAATGTAGATTCCGACTTCACTGGAGGTGGTCAGGCGAGTGCTGGTGTAGTTGCCACGCGCCTCATCGCCCTCGCAACTTGGGCTGCTACTATTTTGCAGAGCTCTGGTGTCTCCGCGCAAGTGAGCGTCTGGCCCCCTCTTTGGGGCCGGTTTGCCAAAGTATTTATATTGAAGCAGATAAATTTGCATTTGACGGTAATTCACACAACATTTAAGCGCTTTCAAAGATCACCATCCTCTAAGTCTTCCTACCAATCTGACCAAGTTGCGAAAACAAGGTCACACAACCTCTATACAACGAAAGGAGACTGCGGCCACACAAAAGAACACACCATCTTGGTCTTCATACCTTTGATTATCACTTGCTCTCTTCACCATGGCGACCGAAGAGAAGCATTTACTTAGCCTCTTTGGTCCTGGTCGGTAAATAGAGTTTTATTATTAACATCCATAATCTTTGGCAGTTTGGATAAGCGCAATGGAATCGAAAGGAGACTGCTCTGGTGTGATGTGATGAAATTTACAGTTCTTAGTCAAATTTCTCTAAGGCCCCAGAATTTTTCTTTTTTACAGTTAATTGATGTGAGCATTGCCATATATCCAAAGCTTTTATATGTCCCAGAGTAATACATCTTAAAATTGGATGTAAAATCGCTAGATGACAAAACACTATATTAAAACTGTATTCATCTTATTTAATTTAATGGTTAAATTTTCCAATAACTTTATTTGTAAGCCCCATGCTTTATTCAATTTCACACATCCATGCTTCCCAAAAGGTATTATTATGCAGGGAGGACTTCAGTTTCGACCTCGCCTAGGTCTCCTTAACAACTTAGCAATATTCGAAACCGGGTAATGCAGCGTATAGTTTCTACACTTTACCCAGCTGCCTGCAGTCTCAAAATCCCATTTTTAAAACCAAAAATAAGTAGTATAGTCGATTTTAATGGCAAATACAACTTTCTTTCAGCGGAAATCCCACCATCGAAGTATGATATGAAAAAGGTCCAGACTTCCTTGTAATTCACATCTGCCCTGTGGTCTAAGAACACTCGTGGTAGTGTGGTTTAGTGGTTAATGTGTAGAGGCTATATGCTGCACTACCAGAATCCGAGTTCGAGTCCCGCTGGAGGTGCTGACGAGGACAATTCAAACGAGGTTGAAACTGCAGTCCACTTTTGTCTGGAGAACAATACCTTTTGTAAATCAATAAAATGTGAAATTCGATGGAAACGTGAGACCTAATCATATAATTGTAGTAGAATTCCTCTATCATGCCTTCATTATCTTAAAAGAAATAGAGTGAATGCACCTCTTAAATAAGCTTTCCTGGTAGTTTTAGCAGCCTACCTATAAAACGGAAAACAATATATCGTCATCCTTAAATCTTGCAATCTGAAACACCCTAATCTCATCATTATTTAGCCCAACGAACCAAAAAGTTCCGGCCCAAATTTGCTAGCAATCCGCACACCTGCCAACACCAAAGAAATTTAGGAAGAAATTTTTATTTTCGTCATCATTTGTTAAGTGTGATGAGAACCATGTTATTATTCGCAAGCACTATTCTTATTATTGGGATCATTAAACATTAGGTTTGTACATGTTTTTGATTCATGCATTGCAGGGAATATTTTGCTTAAGGAAAGTTTAATGGACAGTAACGCTCACAAAACCATAAAATTTGAAGTTCTGATGTTGAAAAAGGCAGCATAACTTTTGGGAAGATGTAAATCTGGATTATTATATCCATAAAACTAGCAATAAACACTTTTATTGGTCCCGTTTTCGTTTCAGCCTAATGCTGGCTAAATTTGCCAGTAAAATAAATGTATTTGAGATATACTTCCCCTATTTAGTTATAAGTGATAATGGCAGTGGTAGTCCAATTTTCCCACATTGATAGGAGTAGATTAGAGTGAATACTCTTAATATATAAAAGATCTACTGGTAGTTTCAAAAGCCTACTCATAAACAAAAAATAAATTTATGTCAAATAAACACCTAATTATAGGATATAATTGTGACATAAAGCTAGTTTGGGCATTACAGTTTGAGAGTAAGTGGTTGAAAGGAGAGCAAACGATTTTACTTGCATTTTCTTCTTTAGCATTCTTCAGCATGGACTTCTGATTGGAGTTTCACCGAGAAGCCGGTTGGAAGTAGTCCTTAGTTAACCAATAGGGCTGCTGAAACAGGAAAAATGCAGTCATAAAAAGTTATTTTGGCACAATAGTGTTGAATGTATACCCTAAAGATTAAAATATACATAAGATTTTTTACAAGTTACCGTGATTTATTTTACCAAATTGCATAACCGCACCACATTTGGTGCATATGAAAGTGGTATTCAGGAGTGATGAAGACCTAAATGGATTCCTCTTTATTTGGGCTGCAGTCTCCATTCGCTTCGTAGACTTACTTCAACTTCGCAACTTGGTCGTATTGTCAGAGGTCCTCTATTATAATAATTATGGTAAGTTCAAGCTTTGAACATATGCTTTCTACATTCCCAGACGCTCCCGTTCCTATGCATATCTTTCAGCCCGTCACTTAGGGTTCCAATGATCTTCACAGTTGCGTCTTTCTTTGGTAAACTATACGGGGTTTTGCCTCAAAGTATACTTTCCATCTTCCTGTCCAGTGTCTCCGTCGTTCCTGCTTTATCCGCCTGAAGGATTAATTGTCATTTATTTGTAGAGTCCTGCGCAGTCGCGCAAATCTGTTCCTGATGTGTCAATGTAATTCGGATTATTTTTATCTCCGTTTCCTGTTTAGTCGCTTCAGGCAACCTGTCGGAAATATTTATGATCTCTAGGCTGTCTCCAAGAGTGTTTTGCCATTAAAAAAATCAATGTTCAGCCTCTTCTTCAGGATCGTGGTGGTTTTGGGACTAAGAGGAACCGATGATAAATTCACCACTATCAGTAGGTGTTGCCATCTCGGAGACCAAATCACTTGGGTGCGCTGGTTTCAAATCATGTTGTCTTATAATCACATTATAGACAAGTTTTAGTTATGTTTCTTTGCTAATAAGACAGAGATTCTACTTGATTTCTTGTCGGCCATATTCCGGAATTTTCGAACAGCCTCCGGAGTCAGAATCATGGGCAGATAAAGCCAGGGTTTTGACTTAATATATACAAACTTAAATAATTTATAAGTAGATGTGAAGATCAAGATGTTGTGACCTTTATTTTGGGCGCCGTCGCCTTAAAATGTATAGAAGTGGTCTGACCGCTTTTTCGCAATTCGGTCATCTTATCAGGGCACACTGTCCGACGACCTCCGCTATAGCAATTCTGTTGATTCCCAGCTTTGGAGCCTGAAATTGTTGTCTTCTCGGATGTTTCGCCGGCAGCATAATCGACAGAGAGTCTTGCCATTCTCAGTACTTAGACTTGTACAAAATAAAACTTAGAAAGGCATACCTGGTTCTACATACTCTGTCTTCGATCCTTTTATTTCCTTGGCATCTGATGGTCGAATCGTCGAATTCCAAGAC